TAATATTTTAAGCAATTTTTTTATTTTTAAACACACCTAACCTAAATACACTTAAAAGGTATAATATTTGTGGAAAAAAAATTAAAAAGTACACTAAATACCAAAAAAATACAAAATATATATATATGAAAATTTAGTAAATTTTTTGTATTTTTATAATTTTTTCAATTTTTTTTAACAAATAATTTATTATGATTTAGATATATATAGAATTTTTTTAAAAAATATTTAAATTAACGTTTAAAAAAATAAAATAAAATATTTAAAAAATAAAATAAAATACTTAAATTAAAAATTAAATATTCAAAACACAAAATACTCTTCAAAATCAAACGTAGTGTTTTTAAGGGAGCTAAGGAGGTCAATGTAATTTACACTAAATTACATAAAATAAAGATCCTCTCTCTCTCCCCTTCTCTTGCCGCAACGGCGACCAGTTGGTCAGTCTCCTTCCTTCTCTTTTCCTCTCAACCTCTGTTGTGTATTCCTATTTTCAATTCATCTATGGTTATATTATATACTTGTAGGGGTGCCCATGTTGAGCCTTGCGGGCTCTCGTAAAAAATTGGACCGGCCCGACCAGACCTATGGACAAGAAAACTAGGTCTAAGCCCAAGCCCAGGCCTAGGGGTATTTGGACTTTGGACGAGCCAGTGGGCCAGGTCGCTAGGCTTGGGTCTGGGCTCAGACTTTGGGCTGGCCTAAACAATTTTTTAAAATTTACTCTACAAAGATTTTATTATTTTCCATTAAAAATAACACTAGGCCTCAGGCGGGCTGGGCTTTTGAGTGGGCCTTGAGCGGGCTCACGAGCCAGGCCAAAGCAGGCCGAGTCCACGAGTCAGGCCGGGCTCGGCTTTAAAACGATGGCCCAGACCCAAGTGTAAGGCCTCAGACTGGGCTTGGGCCCGAGCCTAAAAGGGCCTAAACGAGCCAAGTCCACAGGCCACGGACTATTTTTACACTCCTATATACTTGTTAGAAAGAACGGAATCTGGATTTTATTATCGAAGGGGCCAAAAGAAAAATAAATTTTTTCACCATATACACAAAACACACATGTACGTATATATGATATATAAATTATATATACATAAAAAAAAATTAATACTATAGAAGCAATTTTTACCCAGGATTTTTCCTACCATTTCCAACAGAATTGAATATGGAAGAAGAATAACATATATATTTTTTTATACTGAGGGTCATTTTATATGTAAAATGATATATATATATATATATATTTAAAGTTCTATGACAAATAATAATGTTCGTAGAAATAGGGACCATGGCTCCCCATAATCTTCTCCTAGTTCCGTCCCTGCTTGTTAGTTGCTAAGCTCTTTTACTGTTGTTTTTCGGGTGGTTTGCTAAGCCAAGGTCTGATTAATTTGTTTTGCCAAATTTGAATTTCACTTGCATTGATTTTTCTGTCTCAATGTTAAGTTCTTTGAAGGAGCTTGGTCACTGAATAAACAGGTTATCATTCCTTGAGGGAGCTTGGTCATTGAATAAACAGGTTATCATTCCTTATTAGTTATCTCAATTATTCCACACAATTTTAGGATTATATAATATAATTAGATTCCTAGGGTATAATTTATCAGACTGTAATTTAAATGTTTTATTGATAAATATATGATTTATATAAATAAAAACATGACATTTATACATCAAATTAATAGAATTGCTGTTATTGCGTAATAGTGAAATAATTTAACATCATAATAACATATATATTGTTAGAATAAATATAGGGTCAATGAAAGATTTTTAAAAATTTAGAAATATTATATACATTATAAAAATATTGCCTTTTTTGGTTTGCTTAATGGTTTGTGTTTCAAAACATTGGCTGGACATACAATTCTCATTATTGATTATTGGAAAATTGAAAAGTTTTTGTTGCAAATCCAATTAATCTCTCTGTCTCTCAATACACATATATTTTCCAACAATATGTACACACACGTGTGTATATATATATATATACCTTTCGTAGTATTCAAATATCATCTCAGATCAGAGATTCTCACCATTCCATGATTGTAATGGAGTCATCTAAGGTAATATTTGGTTTATTGGAATAAAAAGGAATGGAATGACTATTCCATCAATATTGAGAGGGGAGATTTGCGCCGTTAGTACGGCCGAGCTAAGATAGGGCGGGTCGTGACAGACCTCACGGCGCCGTGCTATTTCCTCTACTGAGAGGGCCGGTGGGTCTGTTTTGCTCGGTCGAAAAGATCGGCTGACCGGGCGTGAACTAAGCCTGGCCGAGCCGCGACTAGCAAACATTTGGCAGTGCACACAGCCAAGTGGTGAGACTGGGCTACAGGTAGCTCGGGCTAAACTATGGACAAGTGAGGGATGGCACGTCTCTGACCGGATAGCCGAGATGGGCAGATTCCAGATAACCTCGGGTGAAGGTAGAACGGACGGAGGCCGGCATGCCTCGCGACCGGTATGCCACGATAAACCGGTCAATACCAGCCCGGCCCATGAGCATCACCCCTCTGCCTCATTGCCAAGGGGCAGTCCGGTGGGGCATAGCTCGGTTGAGTGCCTATAGTAACAGTTCTTCGCAGGAGATAGGCCGGTCGTGGTACTACGGTCAGGTGTGCCACCTGGGCCAATGGCACGAGGGAGAGGACATCTGCTCCACGCATGCCTCAATACCGTTAGACAGTTCTGCGTGTGCTGGTGGAAGAACTAAGCCTTTACACGCGTAAGGTGGTGGGAGGCGAGCACTGCCACCTATCCAGGGAAGGACAACAGAAGTAGTGCGCGCGCAATCTTGAGGCTGCATGGCCAGCCTAGAAATATGGTGGAAGAAGAACGTTAGAGGTATGCAACTTCTCCCCCAAAAGAAAATACTCTCTCTCTATCTGTCTTCTCCTTCCTCAAGTGGACTGACTTGATCGTCGGAGGGTCTATCCGGCACACCACCGCCGGGCAGCTCACTGTTTCTATGTTGCCAGGTAGACACCCTCAAGAGAAGCTTGGAGCACAAGGAGTACGAAAAGCAGAGGATATTTCGCCCCTCGTACAAATATGTTCATTCTCATGTTTGATTGATTTAAAAAATAATGACAAAATGCATTATAAATAGAATCATCATTCATTATTTTAAGGAATGGTCATTCCATGCGAGAGTTTGAGGAATGATCTTATGAAGTACAGATATAGACACTGAATATGACACAGATACGTAGACATATAAATTCATGCATAAAATTGAAAAAAAATAAGAAATAAAAAATAGGAAAAATTAAAAGAGAAGAAAACAGAGTCTCGGGTACAAATAATAAAAAAAAAAAGAGTAGGGATTTTTTTATTATAAAAAAGATATTTTCAATCTTTCATGAGAAGGGAAAGAAAAAAATAAATAAAAAGAGAGAGGGTCTTTCATGAGAAGAAAAAGAATATAATAAATAAAAAGGGAGAGACAGAAACGAAAAGCAGAGCAAAAATGTTTAGAGATCTTAAAAATTTTATCTAATATTTTATGTAAGTGTGTGATTTATATGATACCTATGTTATGTGGGTGCTATACTTATATAAGATATTTAATTAGAGTGGTACTATTAGAGTCTCATAAATTATTTTAGGCCTTTCATTTCTTTAGATCTTTATTTATAAATTTTGAAACTCTTAAAAAAATTTCCTCCTAAATAATATCAAAATTATCTTTGTGAAAATATTACATCTATTGAATACACACTCCCATACCCTCACACCTCAAAAAAATTCCTAACAAAGCCCACGAAGAATAAGAAAAAGAGACAATGTGATTACTATCTCTGCTACTTCATCCACCATTGTCACAGTTGACATGCTTTCTCTCTCTCTCTATGCTTTCTCTCTCTCTCTCTATATATAGACATAATTTCATAATTTTATCATAATAATTTTTTCTCTTATAGAAAAAAATTATAATAATTGGTTTAATTTTTTCAGTAAAACAAGTCTGAATCTATGAATAATGTTCAGTTATCTGTTTCTGAACAAATAATAAATGTTCGGTTACTGGTTCCCAAATAAATAAACAATGGTCGGGTTTGTATTCCCGAATTTCGGTTATATCTTCGGGAGTTTAGTCTCAAAAAAATGACAAACAAATTTTATTATTTTTACTATTTTTTTCAAGAAACTTACCTTTACAAGGCCAATCTCATCTGAGAACAACATTAAAGGTATAAACCTCCTTTAAGTTTTTATTATTGTACTTCTCTCGTGTTATGGAGCTGTGGTTGCCAGACAAACTTTCACTTATTGTCATTACCGGAGAAGTGAAGATAATCAAATGGTTGTTGCCAAAAGGTTTTTAAGATTTTGAGGGTGAGTAGGTTTTGAAGATTGGATTTGAGAAATATGGATGGGTGGTGGTGGAGATGGGTGCTCTGATAAATTCTAATTCATAATTTAGTAAATGTGTAGATTGTGAGTTAGGGTGTCTTAAAATTAATAATACCTTGTATAATAATTTTATTTGAGGTCATTATTATAATAAAAAAACTAAAAATTGAGTCGTCCAAACAGCACTCTTTTATTATCAAATTTTAATAGAATTTTTGGCTTATCTAGCCTCACAGAGCCAGCGAGAGAGAGGAAAAACAGAGTGAGGGAAAAGACGACGAAAAACAGAGCGAGAGACGATCTGAGACAGAGAGGGAGAGAGACGAACTGTGACAGAGAGAGAGACGATCTGCGAGAGGGAGAGGCGAACTGCGAAGAGAGACGAAAAGCACAGAGAGAGAGAGAGACGACCTTCGAAGTGATGAAAGAAGGAGGACATACCTCGATCTAGGGCTTCAACTTCACCCTCTTGAGCTTCAACATGTTAAGGTTCTTCTTCACATTCTTTCTCTTCTCTCTCTCTCTCTCTGTCTCTCTCTTTGTCGATCAACAGCCTAGGGTTTTTGCTCAGAATCGTGTCCCGAATGTGTCCGACTGCAAAAAATCTAAAAAAAAAGGACACCTCCCATAGAGTGTCCGACACGTGTTGGACACCCATACACTGCCTTCGGAGAGGTGTTCGTGCTTCACAGAGCACAAGGGTTGTGAAATAATCATGAGAATTTATCAATATTTTAAATTTAGAAAGAATTATTACAAATCATTGGATAATGCAATGGAGATCCTGCCTTATAACTTTGGAATAATCTCAGATCATCTGATTCATTGTTCTTTCCTAGCATTGCATTTCTAACACCTTCTGTCATTTCCTTCGATTTGAGAGATTATAGTTTCAGGTTTTCTATAAAATTCGACATTATAACATAACGATAGATTATTTTCTTCCTTGTGTTTTCAAGCTTTATCCTTTAGGAATATTGAAGAACAAAGTAGCAATTGTGGCTTAATTAATGTTTTAACTATGAAGGTTCGATTTCTTGTACAAGTAATCATCTGTGTATTTTGTTTTATAAATTTTGAGCATTTTTCATTCACCAAGTTCCAACTTCCAACAGAAAAAAGACTCTTGGTTATGTTTTGTTTTAGTCTAGTCTTAGATTATGATATTATTATGACTTCATGGTTAAATTCCAGTTGACCAAATCGTTGAACCTTTGACCCTTAGCTTGATTTCTTCTCTATTTTGTTCAGTAGTCTATTGGATGAAATTAATCATATATCATCAGAAAATAACACCAAGAGATGAATTAAAAAAATAACACCTAGATATTTATAAGCACTCTCAAATGAATTGTTTTAATCAGAGGTAAAAATAGGCATTGCTAGCCTAGACCAGTCAACCGGATGAAAACATGAAGTTGATGAAATAGGATGGAACGAACTTATAACCAACATGATAAGGAAAATAATAAATGTTTAATGTAATAATTGATACTAAATGGTATGACAAATATTTAATGTTTATTGTAGCAATCTGTTGGAGGCTTGGAGCTACTACGGTTACTATTGCAATTTGTACTTTAGTAGGGATAAGTGTATACTGAAGATGTGTTTTACACCTTTAAAGATATTTAATTAGAGTGTATATAATATATGTATGTATGTGAATGTGTGTTTTATAGTGATATATGTCTATTTGTACATATGTTAGTTGTATAGTTCTGTCTGGTGATTAAATGTTTTATTTGTTTATTTATTTTATTCAGTCAATAATTGCAAAGAGGGGGAAGAAAAAAAGGAACAGCGGAAAGGAACCAAAACAAAACAAAGCAAGACAAACAACAATATCAAAGGAGACAACATGATGAAGCTGGGAGCAAGTTCACGTATACATAGAAGTAATTGCTAACAGGAAGAGGAATCTGTGAACCTTCTAGGTATCCAAGAAGTTATTTCTGAAAGTCCATGCTGCCATCTCATTAACAAACATGCTTAATTAATAAATGCTCACATGGCCTCAAAACTGATCCAAACAGCAAGCCATGAAGCTGAGAACCCCATTGAAGTCTCTCTAAGAGAAGCTTTTGAATTTCTTCAACCACAACTAAGACCCCCGTTTCCACTAAAAATTCCAACACCTCCAGAATACTTGAACCTTAACCGGGCAATTCTCTATGGAATTTTTTGTGAACCCCATTTGGCCAAAGTTCATATTAAGCACTTACATGGAAAAATAACAGATGGTTATAGTTTTTTCACGAATACCCTTACGAAGGTGGTTAATGATTTGTACCCAAAACTTGTTGATTCGGCAAAGATTCAGTTGATTTGGGTTACTACTGAAATGGTATGTGTTTCAGCTATAGGAATCGATGGCTTGTTAGTGGCCCTCCTTAGGCAAACTGTTTCTGGGGATTTTAGTGAAGGGAATTTGTGGTTGTGTTCAGAGTTGGTTAGTCTTTTTTGGGCCAAATGGGATTGTTTATTAGAAGAAGAGCCATTAGTCTTAACAAGTGCTCTTTATACATTTCTTCGGTTATTGTCTGATCATTGTCGGTTATCGAGTAATACAAAATTAGAGGTGTTGAAGCAAAAGGAGATTGATTTTTGTGTCAGAATGTTGAGGCAGCAGTTCCATCTGTGTTTGAAGATAGGGAGGGATCTGGTTCGCATTCTACAAGACTTGGCTCATGCACCTGAGTTTCAAGCTATATGGAAGGACTTGCTGTTGAATCCTGGTGAATTCAAAACTAACGAGTTTCATGATATTTCACAGCTTTACCTATCAAGGACTTCTAATCGGTATCTTTTACTCCGGATCACTCCGGAAATGGAGATTCAATTGCGGTTTTTGCTTACACATGTGAAGTTTGGGAGTCAAAAGCGGTACCAAGCTTGGTTTGCAAGAAAGTTTCTTTGCTTGCCGGAGAGAGAGACCCTTGTAATTGACATTGTTCGATTTATTTGTTGTTCACACCACCCACCTAATGAAATCATCCAATCAGCTATTATCCCTAGATGGGCTGTTATAGGCTGGTTATTGAAATCTTGTAGGAAGAATTATGTTGAAGGCAATGCGAAGCTCTCACTGTTTTATGATTGGCTTTTCTTTGATGAAAGATTGGACAGTATTATGAATATTGAGCCTGCAATCTTACTGATGGTGCACTCAATTCCTAAATACATTGACATGACTCACACCCTTCTTGAGTTTTTGTTCCTTCTCATGGACAACTATGATGTTGAGAGGAAAGATATAATCAAACATGGGGTCTTATCAGCTTTCTGTATGCTTGTTAGAAAAGGAGTGGTTCACTCGTTTGATATTTTGATTAATTGTGATGCACTTTCTCCATATCTCAAACAGAGGCTTGGGGGGTTGTTTATTTGTATGAATGCAAGTGTTTCTAAGGAATTGCAGCCAGCCCAAGCAGTGCACTCCTTGAATTTGCCAAAAGCCTCCAGCGTGGAAACTCAAAACACAATTACAGGGAAACTGAGGATATCTACATGCATGAGCAATGAAGGATTGGTCGCCTTGCCCAAAAAAATTATTAAAAAAAGAAAGAAGAAAAGGTCACCTAATGTTGCTTCTGTTCCCATTTCAAATGAACCAGACACTGCTTCTCGTCTGTTACACACGATTAGCAGAAGTTAAGTTGATACTTTGGTGTGTTTGATTGGCAGCAGATCTTATGTATAGTTTTTGTTTTTTTTTTCCTTATTATGGTAATGTACTATATTTGGCCAATGATTATTTGTAAAGGTGCTTTTTAATTATTTTTTTATTATCTGCAGGGATTTTGGTCGGTAGCATAATTTATGGTTGATCTTTATTTTGCTCTGTTATTGTTGATTTGCATGTTCATGGACTATGCGACCCCGTGGATTGGCAATTTGGCACCTATGCTGAACTCAGGTAATTAATCTCCTTAATTTGGTTTTAATCTAATTCACCTACTCAATTAGAATTCCTCAAACTTCATTTGAGGAATCTGTATATCTGGAGCAGTATTTTACACCGATGCTGGTCTTGAAGTGACACAAACTAGTATGCCATGAGATGCATAAGATGTTCTTTGAATCTCTGTCATCATTTCCTAGCTGCTGCCTATTTGCCTCCAATGACTATGGACATAGCTTTTTGAATAAAAACTCATTTTTCCAAAAAAAAAAAAGCTCTAATTTTTCCAAATTCCTGTTGCCATCTCCTCTTTTCTTTGCATTATGAGCATTTGAAACAGTGAATTTGACTTGTGTCTCCACGAGGTACTTAAATTTCTTGATCATGAAAGTGGAGTCAATTGTGTCTAGACTATAACCTAATTCCAATCTTAAAACAGCAGAATTAATGAGCATTTGGTTGTTTGATAACCTAACTTGGATTGCACTTCATGATTATTTCCTCTATTCAATGAAAGAGGTATACATTAAGTTCAACTAATGTCATCAAGTATATATATTTGGATGTATTAATTCAGAACATCCAATATAATGTTTTGCTACATAGAACTAATTCTAATATGCCCAAATAATAAAATCCTTAGAAGTTTGAATGATTGCTTGAAATTTGAAAAGTAAATAAACCAACCAAAACCAAACCAAGCCTTAAGTGTCATCAAATGGGGTCGGCTATATGAATCTTTCTTCTCCACGCGGCTCTGTCAAAGGCTTGGAAAGTAAGTAAATCTTGGATTAAAATATATTTGGGGTGATGGATAGTGGTCATCTTGCCTACAATTTGTTGTTTGGTGGACTAGTTAATGCTTTATGGAAGCACCTTTAGAAAGAAGCCCATCAAAATGTCAGCTCCTTTAGCCAAGATGATGTTTCCAGGCGCCAATGTGAAACTTGTTTTTATGTTTAATCAATACAGGAGATTGAAGCAGATAGGTGGTCTTGCGAATCAAACTTATCCAAACTGAGCAATTTGATATTGCTGAGGTAAAATTTTCTCTAATGATCCAAAGCAGTAGAAACAATCTAATAACTTACGTGGTGTCTCTGGACTTGTATCGATCTGAATGCTGTATAATGTCTGGAAAACTTGACTATGCAAATTCATAGTGGGAGTGACTAGAGTTGCAGGCAAGTTTTTATTGACTGTGGATGGACACAACACTGGACAGATGTTTCTAATGGCTTATTGGGGTTATAACTTGTATGTAATACCCTGCTAGAAAATCTTAGGGCTTGTTTGGAAGTTCACAGCTTTAGCCGAACAAAAAATGTGGTTTTGTTCTTGAAGAGGAATCACTTGTCACTTACACCTTGTACAGAAGTTCATCTTCAAAAGAACATAGGCAAATTGAAGGAATACATCCTTTCGAGGTGCTTATTTTCTTTGGGAAGAAAACCATCATGGCAATTTTACAGAGTCACTAGAAATTAGGTGGCAGTTTGACTGTAGTGACCTAACCACAATTGTGGAAGTAGAACTCTAATGCCACAAATATAATGGAAAATAATGTTTTACTATTTATCCGATAATTTTGGAAATATTTTATTTCTATTAAGCAGAACAACATATTTTGTTTTCCCTTGTTGAGAAAGTAAAAGTGCCATTTTGCATTGATCACAGATTTCCTTCCTTTCCTCAGTCTCCTCCGTCTGTGTATCTGTATGTCTCTCTGTGCAATCGATTTGAACCACATTCCCTGCTGCTATACCTCATCTGACCTCCATCGCTGACCTCATGGCTGCTTTCTTTTACTATAGCATCATTTTTGAGTTAATATTGCTCGAGTTTTTATTTCTTTTGGAGTTCGCTTCAGCTTTGATGTTTTTCCATTGTTTTGATTGCTTTAATTTTTGGGATCTAACTGGAAACTCAGCGTCTCCTAACCAAAAAAGGAAATCTCTCTCTCTCTCTCTCTCTCTCTCTCTCTATATATATATATATATATATGTTCTAAATATTTAATCTCTCGTGTGCTTTAAATTTAGGGGGAATTACTGCCTGATGGGGCAGAAGATAAAAAAATTACAAAAACATGCAGAGATGAAGGTGAGACTTACGCCACCAAAAATTCTCACTTTCACCTTACCATATAATCATTTGCACTCCCCATGTGTTTTTAATTTTTTTTACTCTCCACTGGACAATAAATTCCCCCTTATATTTAAGCTTTTACAATTATTTCTGTACATTTTATTTGTTGTTTCAGCTCTTTCTATTGCTATAGATCACACGACATCGTCAACGAGGAGGATGGTGACCTCTGGTCGGCTCAGCAGTCCAATCCCCTCATTCCCACCACTTTCATTCCCAACCTCTGCAACACATACACTAACAAAGAAACCATTGACCAGAATTTTTTCAGAGTTCTTTCCACATGCATTTTATTCTGACCTGCATTGTGGTAGGCAAACAAGATCACCAAAAAGTCACTGAATTCATCTTTTGTTCATCCATTTGGTTATGCAGTGGAGTGGAGGTGAGTTCATCATCTCACTTGTGCCTGCAATATAGAAGATCATGAGGTTTCTCAACGTGAGAGGTGTGTAAAAAAAATACAAAGAAGATGCTCAATTGGTGGAGAAGCCCAATTTCTTTACTTTTCATACCCCCTATTCCTCTTTATACATGCTTTTTTACAAAGGAGTACTCCAAAACAGAACTTAACAGATGATTAACTAACTACCTTGAACAACTTCATAACAAATTAACTGTCTTCATCACAAACTAACATCTCAGCTACAGTCTTCACTTCTGATTGGTTCTCTCCTGCCACAAGTTCAGTTGCAATAGATTCATACCCTAGTCTTTTGATTAGTCATGTCATTATCCGAAATCATAATAATAGTCTATTTTATTTTTATTTTTTGATTAGTTATTTCATTATCCGAAATCATAGTAATATTGTCTATTTTATTTATTTTTTGGATCTTTTATTTTTATTTTTTTATAATTGTTGGCAGCCCACCAACAAGCGTCTATCATGATCAGAAACTCATTCTCATCTGCAGGATGATAAGTAGGTTGTTGAATATATGTATCACACTTTTAACAATTCCTTGTAAATAGACTTGTACCTCACAAATGGAGTATCATTTCATTTTAATCTTTCAAAGCTCCAGAGAGAAAATGCAGGATTAGCTGTTCCAGAGAGTATTTGGAGCCTAGTTTCTTACTAGCTTTATATAAATTAAACATCTCAGAAATGTATTTTAGAAGTTCCCTTATTTAATGATGAGTTAGGTCTCTCCCAAAAAGAAAGTTCTAGGCTCTGTTTGGTTTGATTGTGGAATCATAATTCTGCCCTCATATTCCAAGACTCTGGTTGGTTGTAATTTTCTAAAATTAATTCTAACTCCAGGTTCAAAACACATTTTAAAACATGTTTGGTAAACTAAAAGTTTTTAAATTTTGAATTTTGAATTCTGAAAAGAGTGGATTGAGTTTATCTGGTCGTCAGCCTAGACATCCTCCCGGACGTCCGTCCGGTTGACTGAAAAAGTTTTTTTTTTTTTTTTTTGGGCAATTGCAACCTATATTTAAAAAAAAAATAAATTATATTTATTTTTGATTTTTTTAATATAGAAATTATTTTTTTAGACCAAAATGACAAATTATTTGGTCATTTATTTAAAAATAACAAAAAAAAAATTTAAAATAAAAATTAGGGCGAATGATATTAACGGTCCTTATAACTTGAGAATTATGTCACTTTGGTTCCCGACTTTTCAATTGTAACACATTGGATCCTTAATTTTGAATCGTGTTTCAAATAAAAACAATTAAAAATTCATTGTTCAATTTCAAGGGCAAAGTGGTTAATATGATAAAATATAGGCTAGTTTGACAAAAATAAATATCAAAAAATTATTTATAATCACCAAAGATAAAATTATGTCAAATTGATAAATATTTTACATATATATTTATTTATTTTAACAAATTAATTTTTAATAAATGTTGGATGATGATTAAGAAATGAGTGGTTGTTTTTATTTTTATTAGATTAGTTTCTATTTTTTCAAAAGTCAAATATGACGACAACTTTGATATCATTATAAAATCAATCCATTAAATTAAAAAATTTAAAACTAAAAACATTTCATATATTCAACATATTGATTAAACACTAAGAATCTAATAACCATTTATTACATGATAATCATCCAAAAATATCTGTTAATAACAAATAAAGTCATCTATTACATGATAATCATCGAAAAATATCAAAAAAAACAATCAACCATTACATAATCATTATCTAAACACATAATAAAACTTAATTTGGTAAAAATAAATAAATAAATGTGTAAAAGATTTAACAATTTTACATAATTATCTTTGGTAGGTATAAATAATTTTTAAAAATTCAAAAATATTTTTTTAACATTTATTTTTGTCAGATTAGTTTATATGTTATCAAATTGACGACTATGCCTCTGAGATTGAGTAATGATATCTTCAATTGTCCTTATTTGAAACAAGATTTAAAATTCACGGTCAATTGTGTCACAATTGAAAAATCAGAGATCAAAATGACACAAACTCCAAACTATAAAGATTGTTAGTGTAATTTGGCCTAAAAATTAATTTGTCACATCAATTTTTTAAAAAAAAAACATTTTTAAACAAAACAATTTAAAAAAAAATTTCAACCAAATATACAATCAAAAGTGAATTTAAAACACTAATAGAATATTTTTTTTAACAAAAATAAAATATATTTTTAATTATTTTAAATAAAAAAAATTGCGGAATTTTTTTCGTTTTTTAAATAAAAAAATTATTGTTTTCATAATTATTTTTTTGAATTGAATTTTAAAAAGAATTTGGTTATAAATTTTGAATAAAATTTTCAAAAGAGTTTTGAATTGTGTGTTTGGTTATAAGTTATAAATTTTTAATTAAGTTTTGAAAATTCCTTTCAAAACTTATATTTAACAATTTTTCTCATTTCAAAACTTATTTCAAAAATTCAATATTCAATTCAAAACTCTTTTTAAAACTCTTAACTAAACAAATTTTTCTTTAAATCATAATTTAACAACTTACAAGCTCAAAATACGACTCCATACTCAAATTATGATATTCTAAAAGTAAACCAAATACCAGGCTGTGTTGAGTTTAAATCATGACTCCACACCAAAATTTGAGTATGATGTTTGGTTACAACTTTCAAAATTTAATTCCACGCCATTTTTGAAAACTCGTTTTAGGCAGGATTTGAATTTTAAAATTTGGCCTATCTGATCATCCTCCTTAATGCGGTCAATTGACCGGAACAATGCAATTTTTTTTTTTAATACTTGTTATTTTTTATATATTAAATAAAAAATATTTTCCGTATTTTTAAAAATTTTTTACGAACTTTGAATAGAATTTTGAGTTGTGTATTTAATTATAAGTTGTAAATTTTTGAATCAAATATCATATGTCACATTTTCAAAACTCATAACCGAACAAATTTTTCACACTCAAAATCATAATTTCAAAACTTACAAACTCAAAATATAATTTTATTCTTAAATCATAATTTTAAAAATTTACCAAACGCAACCACAAGTTTTCAGCCTTTCAAAGTGAGTTTCCTTGTAACTATGCTCTCAACAAGAAGTTCACATGAATAGAAACTAATGGAGCAGCACTAGTCTTGTTAGTAGCCAACCTGCTCTAATAAAACTTCTAAAACTATGAATGGAAAGGAAGGCATTCTATAGAATAACTCGGGAGCATTTCAAGACATATTCAATCAAGTAAACTCAAGAAAAATACAGAATAAAAACTCAGCACAACCCTCATAAGGAAAGATGCGTTTCTGACAATTCATTCTATACATCAACATTAACTAAACTGTTGATTTTATGTATGGTATCAACATAAGCCAAAATAGGATGCCCAGCCAAGAAGCTTGAAAGAAAAACCAAGGTAGGTATGGGGACAAAGGAGTGGAACTCTGACATATTTTGTTATTCACATTAGTCAAATACACCATTGGGTCAATTCCTACGAGACATTGCCGCAGCAATCCCACCAGCCAACAGTCCTACAGCAGTTGCAGCAATGCCTATTCCTATTACTCCATCTGCATTCAGGAAAGGAAGAAAAAGAGCGAAGAAAGTCCAGAAAGTTATTTATTCCTTGATTTTCAATACACTTAAAAAAAAAAAAAAAAAAAAAAAAAAAAAAAAAAAAAAAAAAAGGATTAAAGGGAAAAAAAGGAAAAAAGAAAAAACCGTTGGTTGTTACCTTTTGTAATCCGATCTTCAATAGCTTTCTTTAGGCTCAGGGCCTGCCTCCAATCAGGTGCAATCTACAAAATCATACCCATGTGTCAAATACAAACTTTACAAGCAACATGTAAGTATAAAAAAACAAAAATGCACTGCTCAAACCATAATGAATACATATACATCGTATTGCAATTTGGCAAGAAGTGACAACTCAAAGCACATTTACACAGAATTGTGAATGTAAGCTGCAACATAGATCAAACACCCTATCAAATACAGGGGACAATCTACAGACTGAAGAAACAAGTTAAATTTATAGTGTTGTAATAATTAAAACCCAACAAAAAAAATAAATAAAAATAATAGACAACAGAAGAAAGTATGGATGTTGATTCACAGGCCATAATTGACAAACCACAATTACAGAGATCGTACCTCCAAACATCGGTCAACAAGCTGCCTGCTCCTTGAATAGTCCCCACTTCTGTAATAACCAATAGCCAGGAGATAGAGCCTCTCTCTCATTTGCAGTGGGCTGCTAATGCCAACCAGAGAAGCTGCCAACAAGAAGGTTTTTCAAGTCACAAGAAGGTAGCTAAGTTGACCAACCAGAAAAAAGAAAAAAAGGCAACTTAATTAAAATGAAAGGAACAAACGCCCATCAATAGAAGCAAGAACACACATAATAGGCTCAATAGCATTCAGGCAAGTCCCCACTAGGTTAAAAAGCCAAAGATGCTAAATTATCTAAACAAGGATGCTAAATTCAGCATCTAGAATTTCACCTTCAAGCATAGCAATGCCACGCTGCACATCTTCTGGTCGTTTTGAGTGAACAAGAGCCCATGATAACCTCATGATACATTCACTCTTAAGTTCATCAGAGGATCCTTTCTCAGCTTCAGCAACCTCCCGCTCACAACCCTGCAAATGGATTAGGGTTTAAGAACCAAGGAAAAACAAAAGAAGAAGAAGAAAATATTAATTGTGGCACAAGTGCCTAAAAACCAGAGTGAAAGACAACCAGTAATTAAACAGCATTTATTAAAATGTTCCAACCTATTAAATTTAATTGAATTACAAAGAAGTTATTCTAGAAGTCAGTGTTGGACAGTATTGGGATCACATTCTGGACAACTGTCGGCCCATGACACTGGAAACCCATGAAAAGGAAAAATTCTTCATAAAAATTATGTGAACTGTATTGTGCTAACCTATTGGAAATAAATTAGATTAGGGGGTGTGCTGAATAAATGGTTTATGTTACACTTTATATCGAACAATGCTGCTAGCTAGATAAAGCATCAATTTTTATCCAAACAAATCAACCATCTTGTCCAGTCCGGATCTTAAAAAAATAAGGATTACAAAAAAAGTTGTTGGACATGCTATGGTATGACATCTGTGCTCAGAAGGTTTTTGAGAATCACTTGGAGATGATGGGTATTAAATTCATGTGTAATTGGTTTTGAGTGCAAGTGGGAGAATGTTAGTAATTGTGCCCTCAAAAATCAATTTGTTGACTTTATTAACCGATTAAATAAATTGCTTGGCATTTTATTTTGCTTTTTTGTATATTATTATACTGGGTAATGTCATATTTAATGTTACATATGATGTGAACGTAAGGTCCCTTGGGTAACATTGTAGAAAAACATGCTAATGGTTAAAGAACCAAAAGCTGGGAGTTACGATTTTTCGGTGCCTTATAGACCCAATTAATGTTGTAGGCTATGGGTGTTGATTGGGCGTCGCACTACTATGACCTACAGGCTACACCTGTTTTGCTACTATATGATAGAATGATTAACTCCATCACTGAGGTAGTGACCTTAGGCAAATAGGTGGGTGCTATGCAATAAGTACATGTACTGAACATGATCGGTTTTGAGAATACCTATGGAATGATCACTGTTAGTTTAGAAGGTAGTTCTATTACAATGCACTTATTTTCCTTTGACCTGAGAGGCTTGTATAAATTAATTAACTATTTATCTAACTTTGATGTTGTCAATTGATGACGCCAAACCAAATGCTATACACGGACATGTTGGGTTATGTGAGTAGTAATTGATTTATATAGGTACTTAACATGGAATCCACCATTCTCAAAGTGAGAAAGTATATTCAAGTAATTTTTCCTATTAGCGTTGAACTAAAAGAAAACCAACCGTTAACTTTTTTCATAAAAATATTTTTATTTGTACATGTATAATTATAAAAGTATATTTTTAAAAAATGCTTTTGGGGTCCAATTAGAAGAAGGAAAAATTTAGAATTCACCTACATGAACTACGGTTTTTGATAGTGATAAATTTGTCCACACCTACTAGCTCATGTGGAATATAGTTTGGTGGAAAGAAGTTTGTGACCAATTGTAAGAAAATGCCTCAATTGTAATTCTCTACTTTTACGGGTTTAATTGTAATGTGTTGATGGACATTATTACAATTAGTGGAAGTTCTATATTACCTATTTAAAAGATAATTAAATGAAAATTTGGATAAGTTGTATTCTGCAAATTCAAGATAAAATATACACCTTTTATTTTATCTGCACAACTAAAAGATAGAGATCCCTAAGGAGATCTCACCTACATGCAAACTCTATCATGTGTTGTGTATATATATTAGACATATTTGATACAAAAATTGGCCATCATAATTTTTAAGGTCTGTAGAAAAATACACACAAAATGAAAACAAGAGGGTGCAAGGTGAATCACTTTGGAGGCGAGACACTTGGATCGTTTGGTGAGGTGCTAACAACACGCTTGGATTGAGATATTTTCGATTGTGTAATCAGGTGGTGTTTCTTTGAAAGAAATTATTTTTCAAATAAGCTTTCGTTGGTATCAGAGCCACGCTACTTTGATTGCATAAATCTATATATTTTGTTTTTTCATATTTTGATTGAATATTCAATGTTGTCATGCGTGATTGCAGATTATATAATTTGTGAATATATAATTTATATTCTTTTCACATGCAATATGAAATTTAAAAAATAAATAAACAAAAAAAGGACAGAAATAGTATTAAAAAAAAAAAAGTTACTGTTTATAATGGACATGATTAATCGCTGATTAGTTTTGTTAGAATTTACTATGTAAAGTGTTGCTTTAATAATTAGGTTAATAATTAGGTTAGTATAATAATTAGTATGCTTTAATAATGTACCTTTAATAATGTTGTTTGGTTTGTGCTTCTACTTTAGCATGGAATTATTATTTTACTTTTTATTTTTTACTGTTCGCATGTAGCCATATTCATGATTACAAATATATTGTTTTTTAGTGGGTTTCATGTTGCTGTATGATAGCATGTAACTTAATTTGCTAATTTATGGGGATAAATTAGTTACAAATATTATTGGTACCCTATTTTAATGATCAAGTGTTGAATAGGATTATTTTAAGAAAATAATGCCCATAATAAAAATTCTGATTAATTGGGATTCAAATGATACTAAAAGGGTCGGTTGGGTTTTAATTAATTAGTTTGTTTTATTTATTTTGTGAAAAGTATAAGTGTGACTAGTGGGAGTGTCAGCTAAAATGAAGGCATAATCGTACATGTTCATGCTATACACATAAACAATGGTTTGCACTTAGATAAATACTATATGGTAACCAAAAGGTGTCATATGAGTTGATTTGGAGGCCAAAAGAAAAAGAAAAATGCTTGGGAGCACTAATTAGTGCTCCCACTAATTAGGTGGCAGTGGGTCCCGTCATTAATGATGTGATGTTTTGGTCTTGGAGTTGTACGCTCGAGCGACCAA